ACAAGTGCTTTGTTTCGTTACTTTCTCAACGTTACTTAAGAGCAAAATTTTGTGTAATGGTTTATCAAAAAAGGGCCCTAAAAATCAAACACTCCGATATGAGGAAACGAAATTGTTATAATACGCATTGAAGTTCAATCGTGTATTATATTGCATGCCAAAATTTTAGGGTGTACTCATATCTAAAAAAAATCTTACCTATTATAAATAAGCTAAATTTGGCAGCTTTTTCATTTATTTATTAAAGTTTCAGAAGTACTTACGTACCGTAAAAGTGTATAAAGAGATCCCCCTTCGATAGTAGACTCACCGTGAATTAGATGCAAACTGCATTAATCAAATAGTGGTTTTGTACCCTATTTCACGTAATAATACCTATTTGAAATACGGTGTAAACAAAAAAATTAAGTATTGCATCAATAAGGCGTGTACTAATTTAAGAAATACTGTATTGGATTTCAATGTTTATGTCCATCATGCACATCTGAAATCTGTGCTAAGGTTAAGTTGATCACAAAATCACAAGAGCGTAAATATCAATTTTAGTCAGGTTTATGTCCATCATGCACATCTGAAATCTGTGCTAAGGTTAAGTTGATCACAAAATCACAAGAGCGTAAATATCAGAATTTTAGTCAGGTTTTATCTACTTGATAATCGATCTTTAATACACCGATATAACATGCTAAATTTTTTTTATAAGTCAAACTGTAGTTGTCATAGTAAAATCTTGAGTATTTAAAATTTTATTGGCTACAATTCGCAATGATTGACACAAGATTTCAGGCTATGTGGTGCATTTAAAATATATTGTTCTGTGTAAGAAATTTAAAAACCATAATCTCTAGTTTATGTAACATCTAATCAAGTAGCACATTGAAATCACAGTTTATTGATGTCAATAATTTAGGAAATATTTGATTTCAATATGCAATTCATTTTACTTTGAGTGACTGGTTTTTAGATTTCTTGCACCGTATGTACAGTCTCCAAAAGTTTAACACGGTTGCACAAAAATAATAATATACAAATCAACGATAAGAAAAATATTAAAATAAAAAATCACCAGGTTCGGCCAAAATTTATATCGAGACTTTTTTATATCTAAGACTTTTCTTATAAAAACTTTCAATTGGAATTTGTAAAATCTTTCTTATGCCAAAAGTTTTTTACATCGAAGGTTTCCTATATCGAGAGTTGCTTGTATATACATAAGTAACATAAATTTGTGTTATGTTTTTCGTGTAACCGTGTTAAACTTTTGGAAACGACTGTACGTATGTTATTATATAGCACTGCATTCAGTATCCGGAGTATAAATCAAAATACCCCAATTAACTTAATCTGTACCCTAAGGGTACTGTGTGAAGAAGAGGGTACAGTTCAGAGGGTATGTTGAATTGATCTTTAGGCAAGGTTCGGTATTACTAGCATTGCAAGCCTAATTTATAACCAGCTCCAAGTCAAAATTTCCGCGCAATTGTATTAAAATATACTGGGTATTTCCTGCACTTTATTGAAGCTGAATATCTAGAAATATTTATGCGTTATCTCTATGTAGAAAAGTTGTAGTTTTTAGGTTTCCATACGAGACGTAAAGCAAAAGGAACGTAAAAATTCCAATCAAATTTTATCTATGAAATTAAATCTAAGCCTCAATTTCTCTATATAGAAATAATGCGCAAAGTATGTAGCACATTTAATAAAGAACGATGGAATCTAGAATTTTTTATATCTTTATTTCGCCAAGAATAAAATGATCTTAATAGTAATTATTCATATGTATACTTTGAAGCTTAAAAAATAAGCCGCTATTGGGATAAATTTGGATTAATGTGAGAAAGCTCAAATTAGGTTCATGGCTAAAACCAGGTATATCGCGGTATTACTAGATATATTTAATTTAAGGTTAGGGGTTTTCACTTTCTTTGCTTCGTCGAGCTAATTCATTAAATAAAAATTCATGATTTTAATTGGCCGTAAGCAACGAGAAATTTCGTAGTATACCTGACTTTAGCCTACCACAAAATTTGGGTCTTTTTTAAATTTCTCGCACCTTACGTACGTACGTTATATATAGGGGTGGATGAAAAATCCCTGACAGGACCCTTTTTTTGCTGGTTATCATTTTAAAGATTATCCCAGTACATATCACTACGAGATATAATAAATAACTATAAAATTCCAATATTAGCGGAATTAGTAAAAAAGATCCTGTCCAGGGACTTTCCACCCGCCCAAAATTTTACACGTCTATGAAAGATGATTATCTTTGCCATAAATATTCTGTACCTGTAAGTAAGGTTCTATATATAATGCACAAAATAGTAAAATTGAACTATACAGTATTTTATATTAATAGATTCATAATGTTGTAGTTGCCATTTATGACCTGTGTTTGCCAATACGTAAAACATTTTTGTTTGCGATCAATATTTATTAAATAAATATTGTTATTAGATTAAAATTCGTACGTACGTACGTATCTGTTTATCAATTCACGAGAATAAAAAATTTTTTTACACATAGTCTAATTACTCAAAAGACTTAACCAAATGGAAGAGCAGCATTCAATAGTCGATGGTTTAAATGATTTCGGCGAAACTACAGCTAAAAATGTGTTAGCCGTAGTGTGTGGTGCTATACCAATCATTGGGAATGTCGCGGCAAATATTGCCCTGGATATTATAGAACGAACAGAAAAGGCCCAGCATAATAAAAAAGCATGCAAATTTATTCAAAGCTATGTAAAATCAAGTTTAAGCACTATTGCTAAGTTTCAATTACAAGGTACTATCAAGGAATCACAAGAAGCTTATGAAAAGATATTGAAAGACATAAAATTATATGTGATTGAAATTGATAAGCCCGCAAAATTCAGCGAAAAAATAAACAATTGGCTCAAAAGTGCTTTCAACGCAAACAATGTAAGCTCATACAAGAAATACTATCAAAAATTTCATAACTAAAATCTAACAAATTTGAATCTTTTAAGATCGAAGCAGCAAATGAGAGAATCTTCCAATTGCTGAAAGATGCAACCGATAACTTTTATAAAGCTGTATCACTTGATACTAATATTCAAGTTAAAGAAATTATGAATGAGATTGAAGAACAAAAAGAACAGCTTTTGGCAATTAAGTTCATGATTGCACGAAAAGAAGAAGTTTCGCCAAAAGAAGATATGAAAGATTTAAAAATTAATCCATTGGATATTAAATATTGTAATGATAATACCCATATTGCTGGCATTAATATCCAAAAAAGGAAATATATTGTGGATGATGTCGCCGTAAAAAAAGTACCTATTTCAGACGAAAGGAAGATCGTTAAACAAGCAAAAATTGTCAAATTGCTTAACGCCTGTGACAATATTGAGAAATTGTAGGTATTTTTAACACTTTATACTCTTTGTTCTAGATATTAACTGTAGTTGAACAATATAACATACAGCTACGGCATCTATGAAGAAGAAAATTATCTTTTTGTAGTTACTAAATGGATGCAGTATGGGAACCTCCAAAATTATTTGGCTAATAATAAATCGATTCGATGGAAAACTAAACTTAAAATTGCAGTACAAATTGCAAATGGGCTTACCTTTTGTAATACATATGAAATTTATCACCGAGATGTTAGATGGTAAGTACTTGTTTATTGGTCATGTTGTGGATGATAATTGATTATTCACTGGGATACTGCAGAGACGCTTGTGAAATTTATCTCACCAACGGTGGTGAAATTAGCTCTAGTTTTATTTTACAGTGTCTTTAATTCACAATTTGATTGTCCAACATGTCTTACGTGAACAATGAAGATTTTTGCGTAAATTATTCGGCCACCTAATACAAATAACACGATTTTCACTCACCTCTTGAGAGACAAGTGGAAATTTGTGTCTTTGCATTAGGAGATGGCCAAATGACTTACGCAAAATTGTTCGGTTTCACATAAGGCATGGCGAATAAATTATTATTATTTTTTTTTTACTGCATAAGTTCTATTTTGGTAACAATTTTTCTTTACTTTAGCAACAACGTATTGCTCGATGATAATTTAAATGCAAAGCTTACCAATTTTGAGAGTAGTCGGAAGTTTGGAGAGGCATCACAAAAAATGTCAAGAGAAACGTTAAGGTCGCACACTTTTTAATGTAAATTTATATCATATTTTTAAAATTTCGACTTACAAAGCTATTATAATAATTGCAATAATCAGATGGACTGCTCCAGAAAAGCTCAGATTCCCGGAATTGCCATACACTGATAAGTGTGAAGTATATAGGTATGTATAACAGGAGGAAACGTACCCGATCCAAAGTGAATCCCACACATGGTGTGATAAATTAAAACTAATATAAATAATTTCA